CAGATACCATGGGGCTGTGCTGACGGTGGTTGCAATGTAAATTGAGATAGCTGCGTTCCTTTGTGTTCCGGCCTCTCCATGGCAATTATTGTATTTTTTTTTAATCAAAACTTCTTTGCCCTGGCATTTACTGGCTCCCTGGAGTCTAAAAGCTGCACGGGTGAAAACACTCTTTGTCAACATAAACTGTACCAATATTGCTGCATAAACTGGGAGACTTCTTCTCCCAGTAAGCAAGGCTTAATATTCTTCAGTTTATTTAACTGTGCAGGCCCTATAAATTATTGTGAAATGAAGTGAGAGTCTTGATAGACTGGGAAGGGATGAAAGAGGTTGAGGGGCTGTTGAGGGAAACTCTCTCAGGGTGCCTGAGACTTGCTTGGTACGAACCATGCTCCAACCACAGCATGATATTAGCATCCTACTGAGACTGGATGCAGACTAAATGTTTTTTCCCCTGATTTTATCCACTGGGATATTAAATAATGCTGTCACCCACCCCTCTGTGATTGAATGTGTATAAGCCAGGGTCTACTGAAGGCTGAAAGGCACATGTCCCTCCATGTGTGGGATTTTTCTGTTGCAGGGATAATAACACAATATCTTCGTGTTTTAAAACCAGTTGGGATTATTATTGCCGCGTACTCCAAGAGGTGCTCAGTGTGCCTGCCATGTCCCGGGCAGGCAGTGTTGCCAAGCGGTTGAAGTAGATTGAGATTTCACGAAGTCGTTCAGGACTTGCTAATTGATACTGGGCAAATTGCCTAACCCCTCTCGCTTTATCTATTTATAAAATGGGGATAGTTAAGGCCAGGCAAAACTTGTGTAACTGAATTTGTGTAACTTTCCACAAATCCATGCCAGCTTGTCACCGGTTCGCTGTGTTCCTGACTGCTCTTAATTCATTGTACTAAAATAGCGCTCTACATAAACATCGAGCTATGATGCAGGCAGTGTCATTCCCCCACTTTCCCTTAGGAAACTCTAACTTTGGGAGATTAAATTGCTTTAACAAGGGGCAAGGCACAAATCTACCTCGGGGAGAGGAGTGCTGATTGCATGGCTGACTCGAGCAACCGGTGCTGCATCACGGACATCTCTGAGCTTCTTCTCCCTTTTGAAAAAGGGCAAAACTATTTTTCTCTGTGGTTGGTGGAGCGTTTTGATGCCTCCCCTGCAGCAGCATGATGTGAAGTAACTTATTCTTTGTGTCACTTGTAATATCTGCGTTTCCTGAAGAGATGTTGCACTATTTGGTTGTTGAAACAGCTTGTGAACTTCTCCGAGGGTGAAATTTGGACTCCCAGCCTGGGCTTTGTTATCCTTAAGTTACTTCGTGCAGTATTAACATATCTTTATTAACATGCTGGTGGGGCTCGGTTTCAGATGTGATCTTTATGTTTACTCTGCAAAGAGATTTCATGCGTCTTTTATATGCCTTGACATTATTGCAAAAAGGCTAAACTTGTGATGCGTATAAAAATAAAGCTGCTGTTCTGCATGTGAATTAATTAGAAATACATGTGACTGTAAAGATCTACCTTTCCAAATGAGAATTTGGGAGAACAAGTGTGTATTTATAGGTCCAATACCACTGTATAACCATATAGTCTTTAAAGGAAAGAAGTTTTTGATTCTTTTTCTTCACTAATTTCTTTTCTCTGGTGTCTTAGTACCCTGCTGCATTCTCAGCACAAAACTGCTATTTACTACTGCCTTCATCCTTTTCTTGCCAGGCTTTATTCATCCTCAGTGCTCTAAAAGCTATAGGGTTTGCAGAAAAACACGAAGTACAACTGCAGATGTTTTCTGATAGTGAACAACTGAACAAGAAGGAAGGTGACCAATGGAAAAAAAAAAACCACTTAGTGCTGTCTTCTGAAATACTTCTATTTTTGCTTGAGGAGGGATAATACCTCGGCTACCCAAGTTTAAAAACAGCTCTGAGTGGTTTGAAGTCAAGATTGGTTTACTCTGTTGTTCTGCCCCCACTGAAGTTGGGAACTGCTGTTTTAGGGTCTGATCCAAACCCACCAAACTCTGTAGGAGCCTTTCTGATGTCAGTAGGTTTTGGTCCTGGCTCCTGATTAGTGCACAGTCTTTTTTCACTTGTGGTAGCTACCTGCAGGAGCAAATACTTGGGCTTTCTAGGTTTAAGGTAATGTTACAATATGAGATGGCCAAGGAGAGATGATTTTTAACGGCTGACTTCTAGATTGGGATAAAACAATCTAACTTAACGATACTGTAGAAATCTATCTTCCTGACGTACACAGCAGCAATGTTGCCTGTTGTGATGTGGTCCTGCCACAGCATTCTTGCGTTGGTGAGTTGTTTAGACCGGGTATTTGTTTCTGCAATACAGAATAGTAAGAGGAAATTTTCCTTTCAGCTTTTGCATTTCCTGAGTGGCCAGAATAGTTTTCAAGTTTGACAACTTGGGACACCTTAAAAAAATGTTGCCCAATACCATGCTTTTTCAAACACTAGCCCGCAACTTCATTGCCACTGTAGAGCGCTTTGTTGGGTATGTGGTTTGCAACACATGAAGTTTCTACTGAAAAAGACAAAATTGGCCATATTTTCTGCAGAGCCCGCATCAGCAGAATTGTCATTTCCATTCTGGATTGGTTTTGCTGTCATATGAGAGTCTGGAGATTTTTTTTTTTGAAGAAGTCTTTAGTTTATATCATTGAAACAGGTCCAGCAGAAGAATCCTTTCTACATTGCTTCAGAAAAATGATTAAAAAATGATCCTACCACTTGCAGCCAGACATCCTGGAGACTATTATTTGCTAGCAGACTGCTGGAAGTCTGCAATTTTTGAGCTCCTGTAGAATATCTGACAGTCGTTCGATTCCCAGCAGTGGTGGTTACTGGTATTGCAAGCCAGGTCCAAACATTTCCAATTCTTCCCTGTTTCTGGTGATGCAGTCCTTTCCAGTTATCACCGTAGTGAGCCAATATAAAGTACAAGCTGCCAAAGAAGAGTACAAAAGTAAACACTTCTGAGTTATTGTACCTCTTGAATTTCATGACTTTCCCCATTTTCCCCATTTATATTCATTTGCAATAACGTTTTTCTGTTTTAGCCTTTCTGAGGGTAGTTAACAGTGGCAGAGGGAATGAGACACAGATTGTACCAACTGCTCAGAAGTAAGAATTGAATCCTAACTTGTGGTTAGGATTTTATTTATTGCTTTACAGATATTTCTTGAGAGCAGGCACATTCTTATCTTAATAGCTGGGACTTGGATAAAGTTAGTAAGATGACATTTGAGAAGACTGTTTCAAAGTCATTCCTTACAGCAGAGTAGCACAGGCTGGTTGTGCCTGTTTTAGCCCACTGGAAATGAGGGGAGATTGATTGGGAAAACATTGAATAAATCAACCATGTAACAGAATGCAATTTAATTCTGTTTAAGCTTTCTGCTGACCTCAGATGGCAGATGTAGTGGCACAATTTCCAACTGGAATTTATTAAACCCATGTTTGATGTGAAATGTGGTGAATGCTGTGTGCGTTGTGTAAAGGACTTTTATTTTTACTGCTGGAATGCTTTTGCTTTGAATGGCATTTCCTTTACCCTCAAAATGACTGCATGGAAACTTGAGGTAAGATAATATACACAAGTTCAAATACAGCACATCACAACAATATGCTGGTGGCACTTGGACAAGTTTCTATTAGTATTATCTTATTTAAAAGAACTTCTAATTGCTCTTGTGTTTAGAACAATAGATCTTGTGAGACTTCCCATAACGAGGGTAAAGTGCAAGTAATTTTACTCTGAACTTTTTAGGAAGCTCATTCAGTTTTCTGAGAAAAGCAGGGAAGGTGGATACACACATGGAAGATCTCAAAGCAAAATCACTGTTGCAAAAAGTGGGTTTCCAGAAAAATACAGATTGCAGTGCTCACAGAGATAGCGATCCATCTAGACGTGCTAAAACTTCAAGGTTGGCAGGAAGACAAGATGCCTCCAGGAACAGGGAAGAGAACAGGACAGCTCATCTGGAAGAAGCTGAACCCTAATGATGGGCATTTGCTGGTGCTTGTTTTAGCCCTGTGATTTCTATGCAACTTTCTTTAATGTCAGCTTTCAGTTATCCATGTCTGTGATTTCTATGCAACTTTCTTTAATGTCAACTTTCAGTTATCCATGTCTAGTGTTTTCGTGAGCACTAAATTCCTGTCCTTGGAAGCCTCTAACCTAAGTGAGCTGGAAGCTTTCAGCACGTTATTCTTCTGAGTGATAATTTCAGTGGTGTTTCTCAAATATTGAAAGACTGGTGAGAAGGGGCTCATTGCACTGCTGGTGTGATGCAGAGGAAGCTTGGGACTGTCCTCATGTGGATGCCATTGCTTGCCAATTGTACAGAGGGATCTTTTGTTGCAGTTGATTCTGTTAGGATAACATCCTTAAGCCATGGAGTAACACCGTGGCTCTTCTGGGTAAAAATCCTCTACATTTACAGTTAGTTGTCAGGCAGCTGAGTTTCAAGAGTTTTCAACCCAGTTGTGGTCAATGTTCTGTTTTTATGTGAAATAGTCCTTGAATTTCAGAGACTTATCCTCAAAGCCTGCCATCAATCTCAAAAACGGCATTCAAGATTTTGATTGCTTGTAATGTGCTTAAAAAAAGGGGAGCAGTAGATAAAATCGAGTTATGGAGAATGACCCATTGCAGGTCTATAATTCTACAGTGCATAAGCAGTGTAGTTTAGAGCAAATTGGGAAGAAATACTTCTGCAGTTTTGTGTTTACAGCTTCCCTGTCACCTGATTTATTTTACTTATTTTTTTTCTCCGAGGAAAGTCTGCCATCCTCTCTTGAATGACTTGGTTGCCAAATCTTCTATAATGCTTTTCTGTGAACAAACGTACTGTATCCCATTGCTATCCCTGCTGCTGTTCACAGATTCTGTTTTCCATTTCATTCTTAATTGCATAAAACATCTGTGTTATCTTTGAAAGCATAGTTTTCATGTAAAAGAATTATTTACTTTAAGAAAATTGCCAAAGAATGCATGGGGCATCCTTGAGCATCCTTCAGCTTGCGAAAAATGCTTCGAGGGGGAGTAACGCTGTGCAGGGTGTGAATACCTGTCTGTAAGGCTTCCTCTTGGATGGTTGGGCTGGTTAGCAGCACGTGCTGCTCAATTCAGTAATGCTGCTCTATCATCGGGAACCAGTCCAAGCTCCTGTTAAAGCACTGAGCATCTCAGCAATGAGGATTACCAAGCAGAGCGTATTCTGGTAATAAAACATCCAGAATAAGGGGCTGATACCTCCAGTCTGCAGGATGCAGTTAGGACAGTTAAATGTTACAAAGTCTACTAACTTTTTACGTACCCGACTTCATTGCTGCAAATATTAACAGGATGCTAACTGAAGTTCAGTTATTACTTGTTACGTATGTACGCAAATGTAAGTAAAGCACTGGCTGTCAGAGGCAGGTTTGTACAGTAGCAGGTCTGCTGGGGGAGCGTGGGCGTGCTGTAATGTGACCAGTGGGCCGTAATGGAAAGTGGAATTTTCCTCTCTGCCAGCCAGTGCCGAAAGCTCTCCTGTCCCCGGTAATTGGATGGTGGACTACAGACCATTCATCTACCAGCAGTCTTAGCTAACCGTTGGTCATTCTTTTATTAGGAAACTCCTCATGCGTAACTGTATGGTCTAGTACTTATTAGATGGCTGGGAATATGAGGGGAAGGAAGGGACAACCCTTCAGTTTGCTCGGGATGTGTTCTTAATAAAATCTGGTTTTGTTTTCTTTTCAGACTTTGGCGTTAGCGCGTTTCTGGCCACTGGTGGTGACATTACCAGAAATAAAGTCAGGAAGACTTTTGTGGGCACACCTTGCTGGATGGCACCAGAAGTTATGGAACAGGTGAGTTGTTTTTCCTAGTATCCTCTTAGCTGATCTGCACCTGGAATTCCGTGTTGTCAGCAATGGCCGTATTTACTTCAAACTAAGATGATAATTTGGCATCCTGTAAGGCTTTCTTAAAATCGCAGGATTGTCTTTGATTTGCCTGTTGCAGCCAGGCTTGTACTGGGGAATATTAAGTGTTTGGCAGGTTTTTACCCTGTTGCTTCTCTTCAGGCTCCTACCTAAGGTAAGGATGAGACAGCTCAGCTGTTGCGTAAAGAAGATTAACCTGCCCATCCCTCTTGCCTACATGTGAGATAGAATATAAATAGTTTCACACGTGGTAAATATGCACATATACAGCTTGGTAAAGTGCTCTTCTGCATTTGCAAATATGAGAATTTGGGGTAGCTAATTGCAACGTGTTAGAGAGGGGAGTTATTACAGTAAAATAACATGTAGTTGACTTTATTCAGCTTTTTAGTTTCTCTTGGCTTGTGAGTATCCAGACTAATTCCTGAGGAATGCATGCCTCTCCACCTTCCTCCTCTGCTCTTTTGGCTAGCTAAAAGATGCCATACTACTTCCCATTGGGTGGAGATATATCACTTTTTGTTCTCCACTACTTCTAGACTAAACTATAGAAGCTTTGTCTGTGTGACTACTGATGAAGGCCACCTGGAAACTTTGTTTAATGTAAAATATTGTTGCCCATTTCTGAGCAAGAGCCACAAACAAAATTATGCTACAGTCCTGACAGGGCATTTGCGGTAGCTGTCTATCGCATTGATGTTCAGTGCCATACGTGTTCTGAAAATTATCCCTCATCCCCTTAAAAACGGTTTGACAGGGCTGGACTCAGGGTTTGATTTTTGACAGGTGTGCCAAGCAGAGATACAACTGATTGTAAATGTTTTTCTGTTTTTCCTTTTTTCCTTCCAAAAGTCTTTTTTAACAAAAATATTTTGGGAAAACATTGTTTTATTAAAGTAAACCCTCCTTGCTGTTCATGATAAAATACTTTGAAGCTTAGGAGGAACTTGAATAAGACCCCTGTATATATCTGTATCTATATATCTCTCTCTCTATCTAAAATGAAATGCAGCTAAAACAGTGGTAGAACTTTAATGCATTTTTTCCTGTATCTAAAACTTCTTGAAGGATTGAGTTAATTTTGGAGTAGCTTGAATATACTATCGATGAAAGGCTTTTTCAATGTTTGGCCTTTTCAGGGGCTCCCCATGGTGGCACTGAGGGGCTGGTGCGTTACAGCACTCCTGCAACCTCCTCAGAGTACTAACAGCGTAGACTACAAGACACACTCCCCAAGTCAGGAGCCATCTTTGTGAACTCGCTTCTGAA